GGAGGGGGATGGGAGGAGGAAGAGGAGGAGGATGTGGGGAGGGGGAAGAGGGAGGAGAAAGGGAAAGGTGGAGAGGAGGAGGAGAAGAGGAGGAGAAATGGGAAGTGGAGGAAAAGAGGAGAACGGCAGGAGAATGAGGGGAGGAGGAGAAAGTGGGAGGGCATAAGGAAGGGGGAGAAAGGGGAGGAAAGAAGGAGGAGGGGAAGAAGGGGAGGATGAGGAGGGAAGGATGAGAAAGGGGAATGTATGAGAAATGGGGAGGCAGGGAAGCAAAGAAGGAGGATGGGAAGAAGGAGAGGGGGAGGCGGGGAGGGGAGCAAAAGGTGGAGGAGTAAAAGAGGAGGATGGGGAAGCTGGAGGAGGTAGGGGCGGTGTGTGGGAGGGACAGGTGAAGGAACACGTCATGCAAGGTCTTCCTTTATACAGGCGACATTCTATTCATACTTCAGGCGTATTTCTATTGTTCTCTGCTGATACTGGTAACTCAGAGCTCATGACTAATTTCAGGCACGTTCTTATTGACCGTTCTATTGTTGGATCGTCTGCGAGAGTCAGCGCCCTCTCGCGTCGTCACGCTGTCGTCAGTAGCGCACGGGTACGGTCAGATCAACTGGGACGACCTCATGTCGGAGAAATCCTACAGCAAGATGGGGGCATACTCCCAGAGCAAGCTTGCCAACATTCTCTTCTCGCGAGAGCTGGCGAGGAGGATGAGTGGTAATACACGCGCGCCATCTATCGGTGCTCGCCGTTACTATGCGAATTTTACAATCTCATGTCTCTCGCACCAAACGTATTCTATTGTTATGTTATTATTACGTTGTGTAATTATTATTATGTTATTATTATTATTAATAATTATTATTATGATTATTATGTTAGCTAGTAAGACGTGTGGGTGTGGTATATGTTATGTAGTCTCTGGAGAGGGTATCGGCCATTGATCTCTATTATACTAACTATAGTTATATACTATACTAAGTATACTTATATACTAGTGGTATCGGCATCGTGCGATCACGTGATCTCCTCGTGCAGGCACAGGGGTCAGCACCTACGCTGTACATCCGGGCTACATCAACACGGCCATGTGGAATCGTCTGCCGCTCATGTCCGTCGGACCACTCAGATGGCTCACCAATTTGTTTCTCGATTCGCCGCTGGATGGCGCTCAGACATCAATCCATTGTGCTGTGTCTGAGGAACTAGCAGAGGAAACGGGACTGTACTACTCGTAAGTGAGAAGATGGGGAGGGAGGGAGAGACAGAGCACGAGAGATGGGTGCGAGGAGAGAGAGAGGGAGTGGAGCGAGAGAGCAAGAACAAAATGGAGAGAGAATGGGAGAGAAGGGAGAAAGAGAGAGATAGAGAGAGAGAAAATATGAGTGAGAGAGGGGAGAGAGCGAAAACAGGAGAAAGAGGGAGAGCGTGTGCGCTCGCGCGCGCGCGCGCGTGTGTGTGTGTGTGTGTGTGTGTGTGTGTGTGTGTGTGTGTGTGTGTGTGTCGTGTGTGTG